CACTTAGGGATTAGGGGCAGAATGCTATGGTATAGATGAGATCTAAACCAGATCTTGGCCATCTGACAGTTCCAGCACTTAACTAGAACTAGAAAGTCTTTGCCAACTGAAAGAAGTTCCAAGGTCAGTCTTCATAAGGGGGATACCTTAGAAAACACTAGTACTTTCCTAATTTCTCAGAGAGGAGAGAATTTCATAAAGCCCAGCTTCCCAGGATCTCTTGATGCTAACCCGCGTACTTCCAGAACTCGCGGGTGCAAGGCAGTCCTGCAGCGCATTTCAGGGTTCAGTGCTGCGGTGTGTCTGCCCAGAACTAGGAAGCAAGGCACTCGGCTGCACACATGCTTCAGTTTTAAACCAACTCACATGTGGAGAGAGAATGACTAAGAATGTGATGCTTCTTCAAAACAAAGCAGAAAATTAGTAGGTTGAACTATCAGAAATTAGAACTACTCAGCCATGTTAAAACAGCAAATAATTTCTTATTCATCAACCAAATGGTTTTCAGCTATTTCTAGCAATAATGGGTTCCTAGGTCTCTCACATGAAAAGAGTATAATGTGGGGCTAAAAAAGAATAAGTCACCTACAGAGTTCAGGACGGACAATCAGCAGTGCATGCTAAGCACATTCCCTCCTGTTTATAGGGCCTAGATCCACAGCAAGCTTCAAGCCAGGCGGGGCCCCACACACTCTCCATGCCAGGAACTCCCTGCCAGGACTGTAGGAATCCATGTGTTCCTGCTCATCATAAGAATGAAGGTAAAGGCACTTTCTTTAAAAAAAAAAAAAAAATTTAGTTGGAGATGGACACAATACCCTTATTTGTTTATTTATTTTTTTATGGGGTATGTGGGCTCGAACCCAGTGCCTCACGCATGGTAGGCAAGTGCTCTACCACTGAGCTACAACCCCAGCCCAAGGCTACTTTCTTTAAGAGTAAAATTAAATGGTCCTAATAGTACTATAAAAAACCATGTTATCTTATAACTTGGGAACCCAACAAACCTGTTATTACTGATCTCTTAACATTGCTAATTCTGAAATTAGATTTCTACTGAATTATGACTTGCTACCTACAGCAGCAATTTCAGGCCCACAGCAAAGCCGCAGAGGCAGCGGTGTGCTCCGTGGGTGTATGCCCTGACAAACAAGACACCCTCACCCACCTGGCACAGCACTCACCAGGGCCATTGCCATCCCTCACATCCAGACTTCACATGCATTCACACATCTTATCCTCAGCCGCTCCAGCTGGGGCAGCCTCTTGGTCTCCTCACTGCTCATGACCCTGATGATCAGAGTTTGCAATGTCCCTGGACATGGGTTTGATTTACTCATATTGCTGGTACAGTGATTTTAAAAATGTGTTTCTGGCAATACTAAATTTAAAGCATCTTTCTAATTTCTGTTTTGCACGTCCATCCTAGTTAATTCATGGTCCACCAAGTACAGTAAGGTAATCCTTCAACAGTTCCATGTGAATGTTAACTGCAAACAAACCTCTAGAAATCCAAATGTAAGGGGAAAGGGCAGGTAAAACAAATTGATTTTTGGAAAAACAAATGTATTGACATAGTTTGTTTAAGGAAAAACAATTGGAAACTGGCCCAACCACTCTACAGAACTATTCTAGAAGAAACAAGGCAGGTGTCAATATCTTGTAAGATGAAGTTTCAACAGCATTTTGAAGAAAGGACTGTCTGAACACCACTGATTTGTACTGTAATTGTTATACACGACACAGGAACAACTTTATCTTCGTACCATAATCCACGAAAGTTTGATGGCAAATAAACCAACACTGCAACAATTTATGTAGAAGTTGAAGAAATCTTGGTCTGAGGATATGAATTCCAATTAAACTATTTAAGAAGTCCAATCAACACTATCTGACTTGCAAAGTTGATTCTTTTTATTTAAAAGGGCGTATCAGAAGCCAGTGCTAAGAACCTCATTTGTGAGCGGCTCCATGAATCTGATGATTCTGTAGCTGAGAGTAGCTAAAAATCAACTCTGCCTGCATCAAGACCAGCAGCAATCGACTTTCTGAAAAAGCACAAGTGCTCTGTGTTTCCCGCAGGTTTCCTCAAGTCCTCGGCCATCCCTCCCTAGGACTTAGTCACAGCAAGCCTCATTCATCTTCATCACTCCTATGCTTTCCTGCCTCTGGTTAACAGACTTTCCACCTATTTCCTAGGCTGCTGTTGGAGTTACATTCTAAAATAAAAAGGTGATCATGTCTCTCCCGCCCTGCAAAATCTGCAGCAAGTGCTCAGTCTTCCAGTGCCCGATGAGTGAAGGTCCACAGCAAGGCAGACTGGCTCTGCTTAGCCTGACCCCCAAGCAGGTTGAGCTCTGCTCTGCACTGCCAGGTGCAGGTCTGTAGTGGGTGGCTCTCTTTTGTGGTGTGGCAACAGAACAGCAGGAAAACCCAGAGAAGCAGACTTTCCTAGCTCTCAATTCCACCACCTTTCTTAATCTGCACTTCAGGGCTATTCCACATCTTAACCTTGCTCCAGCATCTTCTCTACTTTTCATTTTTCACACTGCTGTTAAGATTTTCCTTCTTCCATTTAAGTAGAATTTGCAAACTATTGCTATGTGCCAGGTACTAACCAAGCCCCACACGGAGCATGGAGGATGCAGAGATACTCTCTTGGTCTCATGGATCTTACAGCACAGTGCAGGCAGGCAGACAAATGCAAACAAGGAAATAGCAGTGGGTTCACACGTTGAGAGTGAAATGAACAATTAAAATACAGAGCAAGGTCCTATAATTACAAGGAGTGATATTCCCCCTCTACTTTGGTGAGGGATATTGGGAGAGAGCCCTAGAACTGAGTTGGTTGAGTCAGGCAGGGGGCAGAGCCAGGGCTCCCTTGACCCCCATGGCACCTGCCTCCCTCCTGCTGTGCTCACCTGTGCACTATGACCTGTAGCCACAGCTCAGGCCTCCTGCAGACTAAGCAAGTGCCCTAGCACTGAGCTACAGCTCCAGACACAAGGATGGCTTCTAAATCTAGAATAATTCCAAGTGACAGAAGGCGTGCTTCCTGTGACATCAGTTTCTGAACTTACAGGTCTGAGGAGACCTGCGATAATTCTGAGGCCAGCAAGGGCCCCCACTGGCGAGCCCTGGTTGATACTCCAACGTGGTGAACAGTGGGCAGCACGCTCTTCCACCTGATGGCAAGGTGAAGTCCCCGACACCCTGGTCTTCCCCTGTCAACGTCTCCAGCATGATCCTCGAAATTCATTGCACCCCAGCAGTGGCAGCCCAGGGGCCCCTCTCCCACTTGGGCTCTCCCCCAGGCTCCCCAGGCCTCACCCCAGACATTCCAGTCAGCAAAGGCCTCATCCTCCCAGGTCCAGCAGGTGGCCAGCCCCCACGCCAGCCCACCCCAGGAGGCACTACTCCCTCATCCTCTTGTTCCTTGGGTGCCCTGGAAATCGCCACAAACCTCTCCACTTCACTAAAGCTTTGTCCCCACTGCCAAATATGCACTCTGGCTCGAGGGTTGGGACAGTCTCCGTCCACTTTTGTCACACTACCCGTGTGGGCTGTGAAAGCTGTGCCCTCGGGCTTGTTCTAGTGTTTGCGGTAGATGAGGAGTGGTAATGAGCACGTGAAAAGTGCGTGAAAGGATTGGAGAAAGGGCCTGGGGATTGGGCTCCACCCCCGCCACTCCTGCACACATGCATGCTGGACTTGGAGACTGCTGCACACCACAGACCTGACACCTCTGCACTGTCCCCCCACAGGCTCCCCAGAAGCTGTATGAGGAAGGGAGAGCTGTGACTCCAGACTCTGGTCCTCAGACCTGGCCCCAATGGCTCTGAGTGCTGGGACAGAGGTCCGGGCAAGCTTTCCTCACAGAGTGCACTCGATTAGTTATGTTGGCACCCTCATCCCCTGACAGCCACCAGGACCAGTGGGTCTTTGAGATGTGCAACAGGGAGCAGCCCAGCAGGCATTGCGATGGGCACAAGGTACTGCTGCTCCTCTTGGCTGGACATACTGGCTGCGCTCAGCCAGGGCTCCTAATTCCCAGACTTCACACACACAACCCACTGAACCTTCACACGGAGCCCTGTGCACTATGTACTAAAAACTGGCTTCCCTCGCATTACAGATGTGGAAATGAAATACAGAAAGTAATGGACCAAAGTCCCAGGCAAGTCCCATAGAAGCAGTGTTCTTACCAGGGCGGCTGGCCTTGGGAGCCGTTTCCTGAACCCTTACAGTTTTCTGAACTCTTACGCTACATTCTCTCAGGATGCATGCCAGGGAATGCAGAACAAGACATTTTAGTAAAGAATAAGAGCAGTAACAGCCACTGTTTGTGAATTGCTATGTGACATGTACTAAGGGATGCATATATGGTCACATCAACACTGTATTTCCCTCATTATGGAAATAAGATACTAGGTCCCATAGCATGAAGCTAGCAAACGGCAAGCTCATCTGAGCTGGAATTTGTCTCGATGTCCAAATCTGTGTGCTCCCAATGCACCAGGATGTGTGGACCTGTGCTGTGGATCTAGCAGGAAGCAGCCCTGCACAGTCCCAACTCAGCCCTGCACAGTCCCAACCCAGCCCTGTGGCACGTACAGATGCACACTGACACGCACATATGCCTCTTCATCTCCTCACCATGATTCTTTCACACAGGGTTCCTCTCCTTCTGTATGCTCAAGTACCCGAGATGTTGAAAACCCAGATAACAGGGACATTGCATCTAGCTTTCTAGTTTTATACTCAGCTGAGTATCACATATGATGAAGTGGTGAAACCATGGTTTTGTGGGAGAAGGCCGACCTATAAAAATCTCCTTGCCATTGACAGAACTAGAATTAACTGCCAGATTTTTACATGATAGCTTTCACACATAAGGGAGAAAACTACACCATTTCATTTTCCCAAAAGCAATTGATCACTGGGGAAAAGGTATTGGCATGATTTCATTATTTGATTATGATAAAGTAGACTCTAATTACCTTGACAGAATCCAGTAAACTCTTAGGAAAAAATCGCTTTAAACCAACATCTTTTCTGAAATATAAAAAGAAGCATATTAACAAATAACACCACCAAAGCAATTAATATAATGACAAACTTGCAAAACATAAGAGCACTTTACATCATTTATCCTTCCACATCTTATGCAGGAAGGAACCAGGTGAGACAAGTTCCAAGTTACCAGTGCACGCATGGGGGATCATTTTCTAGCTATGTGCAGAAAACGGGAACACAACTGCTTTAAGTAGAAATCTTTATTTTTTTCACCCTTACTGTTGAAAAGCCTTATAAAATATTGCTTCCTTATAAATTGTGAGTACAAAAAAAAAAAAAAAAAGCCCAAACTGGTCTTTTTCAGACATTGCGAGTTTATCCTTGTAAACATCAATTCCAAGTGGGTAATACTGTATTTTTAAAGAAAGTAGGACATAACTTGTGAAATTTTAAAAAATCCCCTGGATTTATTTTAAAAGTTTAGCTGTTTTTTAAAATAAACATTTTTGATTAAAGAAATCATTCACCTTATCATTATTTATCATTCAGTTTCACGAAAGGAAAAACAAACAAACAGAAGTGATTTGTCCTAGTCAAAAAGCTGAAAGTGTGGAAATCTCAGCAATTTTCTGTAAGTCAAGCTATATCCCTAAATTCGTCATCATTATTGACAGCAAGGAAAACAGTTGGGAAGAATGGCCCAGTCTCACTCTTCTGCCTCTGTGGGAGCTGTTTCCCAGCAGTCACGGCCACTAGATGGCACCTGAGTGCTACTGAGAGAAACCAAGGCCTTCACACTTGGGAGTCTAAGTGGGGAATACAGAAGGACCAGTGGAAGGTGAAGCACAGGTGCATGGACACAATGCACTGAACATGAAGGATCAAAACCGGGGACCCCCATTGCAGACCCACGTCAGTGGATCTGTGAACACACACAGGCAGTACAGCCGAGTCAGCACACAGGGTTCACCTGTGGCCAAATACCTCCAGCACAAGGCAAGGCAGCACCCGACCAGTAGACTCCGTGCTAAAGCCAGCGCTGGCCTCAGATATGGGTCTGCTTGTGTTTATCATCATGCTCCACACCCTACACATCTCCTTAGCTCCGTGACAAGCCATTTCCTGGTTTTACCTACCAGCCAATTCACTTAACTATTCCTGGTTTTCAGTTTCTCTGAAACCCTTCTGTTTGTAACTTCTTTCTTACCTTTTTGGAACTGCTACTACCTATCTGGTACTGGATGCAAAGAGAAACATGCCCACCCAAGTGGTACCCTCCTAAAACCACAGTGTCTTCACAGGGCCTTTGCATTCCAAGGACCCTGTGCTAATCACTGCTGGCAAGGAAAGACGATCAGACTGTGCAGGAAGAGGGACAGGCACTCCTAGCACCTTCTTCTCTATCTTCCTCACAGGGAGCTATTCTATAATAAAAACATGTATTTCCAAATCGGAGCATCCTGGATGTGGACCTGGCTTTGCTGTGGGAGGCTCTGGGTATAACTCTGTAGTCACAACAGATTGCATGCAGTGGTGCCAAACGTTAGATAAGAATGTGCTTCCTTATCTCCTTAAACATCCTATCAGCTCTCCGGGCCGGGAAAGCTTTTGCTGCCCATGCCTGTTTAGCGCAGAGGGAGATGTGACCTGTGAAACCCAGTGGAGGTGCAAGTGGCAGGGCAGAAGGATGGGGGCTCTGATGGTGCCCCAGAGACAGCAATACAGTGGGGTGGGCAGAGCATGTGCACAGCTGCAGAGCAATGACAGAGTGAGTGCTGGTGTCCCTCCCTACGCACAGCAGGGAGGTAGTTCTGGCCACAAGAGGCTGGGCAGGGGATGAGCCTTCCTAGTGGGAATCCACAAGGATACTGGCCATGGCCATCTCTGGTGGAGGGAAGGGCCAGAGCGGAAAGGTGCTCTTGCAGGCAGTGAGGCTGTCAATGCCTGTTAACCCCAACGGTTGCACATCTAATTTTCACAGAGCCAAGTAAGAGGGAAAAAAAATCTTATGCTGGGTTGTGTTACAAATGGGAAAATTAAAGATAGACCAAGAGGGTTGCATGTTTGAAGAAAAGTAAGACAGCATATTTCTTGGAAATGGCTTGTTCCTATGTTACTCCTACTTCAAAGGGAGGAGGCCTACATTAAAAAGAAAAGCTCAAGGCCAACAAGTGGCATGTATGCAGTTTTTTCCCTACTACTTTTGAATAATAATGGAGTTATACCAGTACATCAGAACTCTTTCAGATGTCTGGCAGGTGATAAAATAAAACAAGGCCAAAGGACACACAGACATGGAAAGCCTAGGCAATCCACCACAGGGAGCAGCCTGCTGCAGGGCTCTTTGCAGGCAACTGGAGAAGTGCCAGGGCCGCTCATGCTTCTGGAGGCCTGCTATAGAGACTAAATTTAAACCTCTCTTGGGAGGCCAGGCAAGGTCACGCAGGCTGTCCTCTCCAAGCTGGGTAGCCATGGTTCAGCAGGCATAGACCTCTGCACTGGTTTCACCCATGTGACATACAACTTCTTTGAGGCCAAACTCTACACAACCGTCCTACCTGTGACTGAGATAAAATGCGACTTACACTCATCAACAAAACTACTGGCCTCTATGAATCTTTACTGAATTATCAACTACTGAAGAGTATCTCCTAAATGCGTTTAAACTAATTTGATAAGAAACTAGTTCAGAGGAAGCTTTCAGAATGTTGTCAAACACCAACTCCTAAACCTGAGCATCAGTTGTTTTTTTTTTCACATTTGAAAAACTTTTTTTTTTTTTTTTGTAGTTGGACACAATATCTTTATTTTTACGGGGTGCTGAGGATCGAACCCAGTGTCTCACACATGTGAGGCGGGCGCTCTACCAATGAGCTACAAGCCCAGTCCCTGAGCATCAGTTACTAGGGTCCCACATCAGTCCAGAGGGACCTGTGAAGCCACACACAAATGACAGGCTATTAACATGAAGTGAGAACTGTGCTATCCAACACAGTGTAGCAACTAGCTATGTGCACCCATTTATACCTCCATTTATTAAAATCAATTTAAAATTCCGTTCCTGGCCACACTCACTGTTTCTCAAGTGGTCAATACCCCTGTGTGGCAAGTGGATACCAAACTAGATGGGGCACACACAGGGCTTTTCCATCAATGTTCCACAGGACTGGCAGGGCTGGGTTCAGGGGATGACTCTAGGGTTCCAGGCAAACTGCCTCCCGTGGACCTGGTGCTGGAGGCCTGAAGGTACGGGCAGGAATGGAGAGGTGTATGGACACTGGGAATGGGGCAGAGCTACCATGGGGACAACCACATGGGTCCCCAGACTCAGAAAGATGATACACAGAACTTGTGGCAGGGCAAGGGAGGGGAGAACCTGCAGCAGGCCAGAAGGGACCAGCAAGGAGCCATGTAGCAGGGGGGTGTCTAAGCTCCTTTCCCTGCCTTCCTGCTGCAGGGGTGAAGGGTTCCTGTGGTCTGCTCTCTGTGACTCCAACAATCTGGACCCAAGCCATAGGAAGGCAGTGTTCATGTGGCTCAATGCACGTGTTCAGCGTGCAGTGCCATCAGGCTCTGGAAGGGAGAAGCCACTGTAGAGTTTTCCCCTCTCCAGGAGAGAGGCAGGTGTGAACCACCACCCGCAGCAAAGCCTCACAGATACCATAAGAGAACAAGCGCTCAGAACCAGCCACATAGCTCCAGCAATTCAGGGCATCTGGGACCTACAATTATTTTCAGGATCAATTTTAAACCAGAATCTTTCATCTTTTTATTTTTATTTTCTGCAGTACTGGGGATGGAAACCAAGGCCTCATGCAGGCTAGGCAAGTGCTCTACCACTGAGTTACATCCAGCCCTAGAGCTCTCCTGATTGTTTATTTTAACCCTGCCCTGCAAGAGAGACAGACTCCCACTGACTGACAGGGTCTGCTTCTCTTTCCCTTTGAGCTCTGCACTTTCCATACCACTCAGTGGTTCTGGCAACCAGCACACAGTTGTATCCCTGAGGAGGGCCTTATACAAGCCCCATCACCTTCCCCTGGCTGTTCAAAATGGACCATGCAAGAAGACAGCATAGAGGGCTCTACACCCTGCCCTCAGAGCTCCCAGTGAGCAGACTAAACACTCGCCAGGGCACAGGAACTACCGAGTCACCTGCAGCCCACCCTTTGCCTTGCACATGTGTTCATGTCCACAGACACGCAGCGTGCCAGAGGACTCACCTGGAATGGGCATTATATCCATATTCACAGGAAGTAAGCATGTGAAGTGGTGGGATCTGGGGACTGAACCCAGCAGTGCTCTACCACTGAACTTACATCCTTGGCCATTTTTATTTTGAGACAAGGTCTCACTAAGTTGACTAGGCTGCCTTAAAACTTGCTGATGCTGCTCTGGTGGTTGGGATTACAGGTGTGTCACTATGAAATGGCAAGGGAAAAGGAACCTGGGGCCCAATACCTGGCCGAGAGAGTCAATCTCAATGTCAAGGATAAATCTGTCTTCTCTTTCAGCATCATCTCTGAGAAGACCCTGGCCTTGTTTGGTGACCTTAATACAATGTGGACATAACTCCTCAAATATTTAAAGCCATGGCAAAAAAATGACCAAAACTAACTTCAAAATACAACTTTATTGCATATTCTCATATATCCCTATCTTATCTTTTCTCCATATCTCTCAGAATTGAGACTCTTTAATCTAAAAATAGTACAGAAGTCCTTTAACTTCAAAATCATACATTACCCCTCTTACAAGCTGGTGAGGTGTTAACATTCTCTACCTGCAGTACGGAGTCCCACCTCTCTCTTCATGACATTCTCCCTTCCATCCTGGCTAATGAAAAGAACTCTGTTGGCCATGCACAATGCTGCACTCCCCAGCTCCTCATGTGGCCAGGTGAGATCAAGGTCTCTCCAAGGGAAAGCACTATGTACACATTTGTATCCTGAAACAGGAGAGAAAGAGAAGGTCCATCTCTGCCCACTCATGGGGTGGAATACCCACGTGATGGGTAGCTTCCAGTAGCCTCCCCAGGC